ACGTACAGGTGGGGACAAAGTGGGGCAGGGACTTTGGGGAGGCAAGCCTAGAGGTGAGGAAACGCAGAGTTTCTAGAAGGAGAAAGGGACCCTTTGCTAAGGACAGCATCTTCCGAGCTGTAGGGGAGAAGGGAGGTATGTGTGTTGGGGAAGGGTGGACTGGGCTTTGGGTGCACAGTGAGGGATGAGACCAGAGAGAACCAGGGTCACAGGCAGGACTTGGGTGCCAGGTTCAACACACACACAGACACATTCGCATGCACACACGTACACATATACACATATGCATGCCTGTACAAGTGCATGCAGATGGTACATGAATAATGGCAGCCACTTACTGCCTGATTCTCTTTTGCTGAGCACAGCACTGTGTAATTTGATCCCCATCTTCCCATTTTAGCTTGGACAAACCAGGCCTGAGAGACAGATTCTTAGGGTGATGGGCACTCCTGGCATTTGGAGCTTTGGACCTTCTAGTGGCCATGATGCTCACTAGAAAACTTCCCCTTCTTAACTTGCTACTATGGGTGTCTTCTAGACTGTTCCTCTCTTGCTGTAAGGGATATGTTAGATTGTGAGACACACTTGTTGAGAATGCTCGCCCAGTGTTTATCCCCAGGGACCCTTCCCTGCCCACCACTGTAACAAACACCAGTGAGTCCCCTCTACAAGGAAGCCAGAGAGGCTCCCTTCCTCTAACTTCAACTGACAGACTCCCACATTTGTCATCCCCTTACTTTTCATTTGGCCACATCTCAGTGCGGTACCTAAATATTTAGAATCATTTTTCGCGTAAAAAAAGATGCTGTATTGTATAAGCTGTTTTCTTTGTTAGGGAAACAGATTTTATTTGTTAAGAATAAGCTTAGGAAAAAAACATAGATTCATAGAAAATATTGAGTATATATAATCTTTTGGGATTTTTTTTCTCTCCATTTGCATTGTTGGGGGACTATGGTTATTGGGAGAGTGCCTGCCTAGCATGCATCAAACCCTGAGTTAGGTTCCCAGCACAGCATAAAGCTGGCACGGTGGTATGTGTGTGTCCAGTGCCGGAAAGGAAAAGGCAGGAGGATCTGAAGGTCAGGATCATCTTTGGCTGCCTGGATAACTGAGAGTCTATTCTTAAAAAATAGATTACAATTTATTTTAAAATCATTTTTATAAAATCATATTTTATTAAATAAATTTTATAATTTTATATTTATTTAAATGCAAATAATTAGAAAGGGGCTTGGCATTGCACAGTTAGTTGATTTCCATAATGAGGCAGCTGTTCGGATCAAAATGTCAGAAGCAGCCAATTGCTGCATAACTTAAGTTGGGAAGTTACAAATCAGTTTGGTGTGTTTACACACTGGAGTGTGTGTTCACTACTGTTCTCCTTGCATGATAACACACCTGGCAAGAAGCAACTTAAAGGAGGAAGTGCTTTCTTTATCTCAAAGTTCAAGAGGACACAGTTAATCATGGGAGAAGATGCTGCAGCCAGAGTGTAAGGCAGCTGGTCACACTGCATCTGCAGTCAGGAAGCAGAGAGAGATGAATGCTGGCTTCTCCTCACTTTATCTTTGTGTTTGCTGTTTGTTTGTTTGTTTGTTTGAGTCCAGGACCCCAACCCCTAGAATGGAGTTACTCACATTTAGGGTGAATCTTCCCACCTCAATCAACTGAATCTAAGCCATCCCTCACAGACAAGCCCAGAGCCTTGTTTCTTCAGTTAAGTCTAGATCTGTCAAGTTGACAGTCAACATTACCTATCCCTGTGAATTATAAAGCAGGAAGATGGAAGAAAATTAGGTCATAAAAATAAGGATGGATGACAGCAATCTAACTTTAGATTAAAGTAAGAGGAAACCTAAATCTCTTCTTTACTCAGTATGTAGGACACTTTAGGATATTGTCCCAGCATTTGGAGGGAATTCAAGGTCATCGGAGTAGTGGCATGGGTCTCTGTCAGCAGAGAGAATACCCTGTGTGTGGAGGTGCATGTAGAGGAAAGAATGTCAAGGTCTGACTGTGACTCAAGGTGACTCGTGCTGGTTGTACCTGTAGAAGATCCCTGTGTGTCATGACTACAGCCTGCATGTGGGAACGGTCTCAGAAACCAGGGCTACAGGGAGTCACTGATTCTGTGGGAGAGACCTTGAACTTGGCTATTAGAACTTCGGTCACCAAAGAGGACGCTCAGAACAGGGCAGAGTGACTTCTCCAAGTACTAATTCAGCTGAACACATTGTCCCTCGGCCCTATCCAGTTTTCCATGCTTACCTTGTAACATTCATGGTTTTCTAAGTAGCTCTTTTGTTTTTAAAAAACAGTGTGTGCTTATGAAAGGAAAAATTAAATGCATAATGTGAAAAAAAGGGACAAACATTATCCACGCTTTCATTGCTTAGGGCTCCATTGTGGAACACCACATCCCAGTCACTTCCGTAGACGGGTGCCTGTTGTTCAAACTCTCTCAACACAGCTTCTCACTCAAAGCCTTTTATAATCATATCTTATGAATGCATACTGAATTAGGTGACTAAAATCCATATGTTGATCTACTAACCCATGAACCCACCCATCCATTTAAAGCATCCATCATCTGTCTGTATGTTTGTCTGTCTTTATCATCATCATCATCTACCTCACCTCTACTTCACAGAATACATGTGCATACACACATATACATCGGCTTCAAAGGTCGGCAGTCTTCTCAGTTTCTAAAGGCTTCGTTTTTACGTCACTAGAAACCATCTTACCAGCAGTGGCCAGTGCATGAAGCTTTGTCGAGTACTCAAACTGGTTCCTTCTGAGGTCTCCTTATGGTTTGCTTGTTCACAATCAAGCCCCCCCCACCTTCACAAACATCAAGGGGACTCACTTTTACACCGTTCAACTGTTTCCGATGGTCTATCGAAAGCAGACAGTAGTCTCCTCACTAACAAAGGACTAGCGCTAAGATCGTGGGTCCTAGAATAGTGCCATTTTTCATTGTGCCACCTCATGCTACTCTGGGAATCACCAGCCTGTTAGCAAGTCTCTCCCTGAGAACAGGGCCTCTGTGCAGGGGAGGAAATGAAGCTCTGAGGTCGGGTAGAGCTGAGGCCCGCAAGGCAAACACTCCAGTCAGGCACTGTCTCATCTTGACTGAAGGACTCCTAGAAAGGGAAATCAGACATGAGCTATCAGGTGCTGAGGGAGGCTGCTGTGAACCGCTCAGTGGCTACATCACTCTTCGTTTGCTCAGGAACCTCTATAGATTTGTTGGTCTTAGGCAGGCTGGCCCACGAGCCCAGGAGACCAATTGTGAGTGTGTTGGGCAGGCAGAGCCACATCAGTCCAAATCGTCAGTCACTGGTGTTTACTGACCCGCTCAATGAAACCCTGGAGTTGGCTGACTTGAGCAGACTCAGCTGGCCTTCATCCTTTTGCCTCATTCTTTGCTTTTTTCCTACCTGAGTTGCAGGTGAAATGCCAGCAGTTTAGTAGCCACCCTGTGACTATGTTTGGACCAGTGCGAGAACAAGAGCCGATACCCGAAGGAAGGCTGAGCAGAAATATGGATTACGTCCTTCAATTTGGGCACTGGGGCTGCTTATTCCTAGACTTCTTGTTATGTGGAAAATAACCATATTTGTGTGTCTAATATACTTCTTCACTTTTCCATTACGTGTATTTGAAAGCATTCCTAGTCTCTATCAGTCTCTATTATTCCTGAGCTAGCTAGCCTCTATGACAAACATTCTCCAAGTCAATAGATAAACACAGTAAAGTTTGTGTTCTCATTCCCTCTGTCGTGGGCTGAGCAGAAGACTCACCATCTAGGCTCTTCCATCTTACAGGGTTACTTTTTACAGCATATGGTCTCTAGGGTTGCCGGGGCAACCATGTCCATGATTTTGCGGGCAGTCCTGAAAGTGGTATGCATCACTTTTGTCCAACATCTCTTTGGCTAAGACCCAGGCTTATGACCTCCAGCTCGCTGCATGTTGTGGTTTTTCTGGTTGCCCAGGAGGAAATGCATGAGTCAGTAGCCGATCTCGATTGCATAGCCATTTCAAGAGCCTCTCTTGTAATCTTTCTGGGCCATGGAGAGATATGTGAACAAAGGTAGAATTTAGCTTGGCTGTTCAATCAGTCATAGCTCTGGTGAGCCTCCACAGGGGCTGATAGTTCCCATTTTGATCTATGAAAATGGCTATCCCACCTGGCCCTTCTGTGGTGCACTGGATGAGAGAAGTCACCTTCCCTCTGGACCAAGGGTCTCAAGTAGCTGTGAAATTGTCTAGCTTCTATGGAACTCACAGCTTCAGCATAAAGAACTGGGATCATGGGATTGAAAGGATCCAGGTTCCAATTCTGGCCCTGCCACTCCAGGATTCAGGAGAGAAAGTGTTCTGTGTGCCCAGCCAGTGCAGGCTTGCATGGTTTCCCACCCTCCCTGATAGTCTTCGCTCTGTAACTGGGTCTATGCTGCTGTATCTGGTGTTGGGGCTGGGAATCATGAGGCCACCAAGTGTCAGGTTGGGGCTTAGAGAAGCAGAAGGGTAGGGCATCGGGTCTGGGATTCAGGGAGGAACCCAGGTGACTGGGAAAGTGATTGCAGCCAAGTAGAGGGACCCTGAGCTAGCGGCCTTGGAGTAGGGTGTTGTAACATGAGGGGGCCTGCTTGTTTGTGTTTCTGTCCTGACCAGCCCCCCAGCTGTTTAGTCCCAGAGAAAAATCACACTGAGATCTCTGTAAGTTATAAAGCTGATTGGCCCATTAGGTCAGGCTACTTATTAGCTCTTATAACTTATGTTACCCCATTATCCTTATCTACGTTAGCCACATGGCTCAGTACCTTTTCCAGCGGTAAAGCTTACATCTTTCCTCTCCGGTGGTCTCTGAAGAGGCAGCATGTAACCTGCCCAGCTGAAAAAAGTACTGAGCCGTGTGGCTAACATAGATAAGGATAATGGGGTAATATATGTTATAAGAGCTAATAAGTAGCCAGAGCTAAGGGCCAAACAGTTTATAATCTTATAGAGTCTTGTGGGTGATTTTCTTGGGGTATGATGGCTGTGGGGTACCGGGTGGGACAGAAACCCCAACAAGCCAGCCCTCATGTTACAGGGTGTGGACAGCAGTCAAGGTCGAAGTCACTACTGCATTCACCATTTCCCCCGGTGTCCCAGCCTCAGTGCAGAAGGACTTCAATGTCCAAATGGCCCTTGCTGGTGATGACAGTGTCCACTGAACATTGAGATGCGGCAATGTGTCAGATTTGATCTGGGACCCAGGGAGATGGGACAGTGGCTGGGCTTCTGGAGGCGTAAGGGAAGCAGGCCTTGCCCTTTAAGAACTAGACTGAGAGCCAGAACTGTCTCCACCCTGTGATTATCCCCAAATTCCATTGACCAGAGGGGGTTATGTGACCTTGACCAGAATGAACACGGGACAGAGTGGGAACGAATGATGAGTAATGGACAAGCCAATCCACTGCCATCTTTAAGAGTGAGTGATACCCGTGGTCAGAGGGAGCATCCGCACCTGAGCCCTTCTCTTTAAGAGCTGTCTCTGGCAGCTTTTACAAAGATGCCCCAGAGCCCTAGCTCTTTCTAGAAAGGGAAACCATACTTCTTGTTTTTCTCCAGTTTGCCCTATCACGCCATTACCAGCTGCTCAAATGGGTTCCGCAGCCCACTTTGATGGGCCACTCTCGGGTGGTGGGGGATTGAAAGGTTGGTAGTCTGTCCTAGTCTGTAAAGGATGTCTGGGCTGAGCCGGGAGGTGAGTGACTCTGCCCGGAGCTCTATGTTTGCCTCACATCTAGCCTGTAGATCTGAGACATAGGTGGGGGGCAGAAGATCCCAGTACCCAGAAACTGCAAAGAGAGCATAGGGGAAGAGAATGTTCCTGGGGCCCAGTCCCTCCTTGGCTGCTTCCAGGATTGCACAATTGTTGGGAAGGTTGTTAGGCTTGGTGACATTCATCCTCTGGCATGTTTAGTGGGTTCACTAAAATGGCCGGCACCAACTCAGGGTGGGGGCGGTGGACCGTAAGTCTTGCTGGGCAAATGGATCTTCTTTTTCCTTCCCTTCCTTCTTTAATTTAAAAAAGTATAGACTTCTTTACTATTTGTTCTCTTTCTCTCTGTCATGCTCTGTGATACATGTATACAGAGACTGGAAGACAACCCGAGGGAGCTGATTCTCTTCCTTCACCACACAAATCCTGGGAATTGAACTCAGGGCATCAGACTTAGCAGCAAGCACTTTTCACCACGGACCCATCCCATCCGTCAGAAATGTGTCATTCTGAAGATGTCCCCCTAGCCCAATCAGAAACATGAGCTAGCAAATCTATTACTGGGCCAGCGGGTTTCCTTCTGAGGTAGGTTTAGCCCTCTCATGGACTGTCTCGGTCGTGAAGAGATACAGTAAGGTGGCAGACTCTTAATTCCATAGGCGATTACTGTAAATACTGACAGGAACCTGACATGACCCAGTCCCACCTCTTCCTCTGATAGGACTACTTGTGGTTCTTAGCATTGATCTTGTTAGAATTGATGGCCTCTGCATGGAGTTCCAGTGTGTATGGCCTGCGGATGCATGGGTGAACTTTGGACAGCCCGCTGTGCCTGCCACCCCTTGAAATGACCTTGGAGACAGATGTCTCAGGGCCTCTAAGTAGGACATTTATATTCACAAGGAGGCTGGCAATCGCAGCCCTTTGGGGCTATAAAAAGGTCCTTGCACGGGGTTAATGTGACTCAGAAATCAATACTGTGAGGGCTAAGTGTTAGAGAGCAAGGTGATGTTTATTTCAGGTTTGCCTCCAAAATTAGATAAATTAATGTAATGAATTCTCTCAGCTCATTTCCATACACCACTAATTTGCTTTTAGGGGAAGATGCTAGAAAAGCCTGTATGGTGGAAATACAGGATCTGGCCCATTTTCTAATGTGCAAGCCTGTAGTTGGGGGGGGGGCTGCACTTTTCAGAACAAATTAAATGTCTTCAGCCTGCACTCAAGTGAGCCAATGGCCCAAGGAAGAGTACAAGGGACTTGCGAATTCTGGGGACATGTTGTGCTTCTAATGGCATCTGACCCTTAGACAGGCTGTCCTCTTCCAAATAAGCAACACATGTAGGAGGCTGGAATCCAGCCACTGTCCCCAGCTTGCAGGGACATAGGGAGGAGACCATGCTCAGGCTACTCTGGGGGACACGTTTTCTGCCCCCCCGCCCTGACCTGGGGCATCTGTCAGCTTCTGTAAGAGCCAACTACAGAGGCTGGGGGATGGTGGCAGAGAGAAGTGACCTGCTGCCATCCATCCCCATGCTGTGTTAGACCCATGGCCTGATCCAGGCCACACGGTGCTGAATCATTAAAATCCTTCACTGCTCTGACAGCATCGCAGACACAGACGAGGACCGTCCAGCGCAGCGTGGAAAGAGCAGAGCTGTGGCAAATTCTCTGGCACGCTCTGCCAGCCAAGGTCGGTGCTCAGCAGCTCCGCTTTGGGAAGAAGCCCAGAGAGGAGGCCAACAGCATTTAGTAGGGTCTCGTTCCGGAGTTAGGGATATGTGGCCGATTCCACCCCATTGTGGCCAAATGTGACTGGTCTCTGGAATGAGGTGTGAAGTCACTCGTTCAGTTGATTGAGGGAGACAGGCCTCTTGAAGTTGAGTTTGCTTTCACATGTGTATGGGTGTGTGTGTGTGTATGTGAACATGCATGCTTTGGTAGAGAACTTAAATAAAGCATTGGAAACAAGGGTGAATTAGGAGGTAGAAGAAACAAACAAACAAACAAACAACAACAAAACTCACTAAATTCCCTGGCCAATCAGGGTGAAACTTCATGGACATGTATCCTTGTGGAATAATGGGGAAGGCATTCTCCTCACGTTTTCCCAAACCCACAGACCAGCTAGGATGCCCAGGACTTCTTCCCACCTTAATATGCAATGTGACAACTACAACATGCATGACACCCCTTCGGGTATGGTACCTGCAGGTAGTATTTGACCTGAACATCTGTACCAGATGACTCATGGATCCAGGTTCAGCTAACATGTTCCCTGGCTCTGAATCTTGGTTCTGCTTATTATTCGGGAATGGTCCTTTCCACGAGGAAGCCTTCAGCATTCATTCGTTAGTAGCTGCAAAGCTCAATTATCATGTAAACCCGGTTGCTGGGTCTCTGAGAAAAGTGACAAGCACGGTTTACCTACCAGGATTAATGTGGGGAATCGCAACACTGAGTGCAAGGTGGAGATTAGCCAGGGTGTCCAGCAACGGAGGGAAGATAACTTCCTGGCCTTTCTTATGGTGTCCTGTGGGAGCCCCCAGGGCATCCTGGGGTACCTTGCCTCTGGCCTTGTACTATCCAGAGTATCTAAATGCCTGACCTCTTTCCCGTTTTCTGTCACCTCCTGGGATATTTGATGAAGCCAGCCTAACTCATACATACTTCCTGAGAGTGCCCCGACTCTTAGGGGGCTTCCCCTTGCATCCACTCAGAGTAGATCTACTCGTCTCTGCTTTTTGGGCATCCTGGACCTGGGCTCAGGTTTCTCAGTGGAGTTGTGAGTGGAGAGGTCTTCTGTGTCTGCTACCTTTTCTCCAAACCTCCAGCATGCAGGGTCTTTGAGAAAGGTAGGTTGGAAGGATAAAAGGATACACTACCTCATGAACACACATACATGTATTCGTGCACAATGCATACACACACACACACACACACACACACACACACCACATACCTCTAAGACAGGGTCTTACTGTATAGCTCAGGCTGGTCTGGAACTCACTGTGTAGACTAGGCTGGCCTTGAAGTTACAGCAATCCTCTTGCTTCTGTAGCCCCAGTGCTAGGATTAGAAGCATGAACTACCTTGCCCAACACTGCATTATAGACACCCAGCCACGTGTTGTTCCTCAGACAGAACGCTGAAGAAGTGAGGAAGTGAGCCCTGCTTCTATGAAACCTTTTTGTTTGTTTTTAGTTTTTTTTTTTTTTTGAGACAGAGTCTCATAAACCTGGACTGACCTTGGACCTTGATTCTTCTGCATCGATCTCCCGAGAGCTCGGATTAAAGGGGTGAACTTCCACGGCAGGCTCCCAGTTCTCTGACCCTTTGTGTCACCGTGTCCTCTGAGAGAGGCAAGGGCTGAGCGACACTGGGGGACTCAGGGACGGAGGAGTAGCAGATTTGGTACGCTGCGGGGCCTGGGTGCGCCTTCCTAGGGGCAGAAACTTTGAGGGGCTGACAGACAGAAGTAACAATGCCAATTGCCCAATCGGATGTGTGTCAGCTCCGGAAACCGCACCACCAAGGGGGCTATGTGGCTGAAATTCCTGAAGGAAACCAGAGATTGTTTGACAAAAATACCCTTTCAAAAATAGCAGCTGTTTTTGTTTATCTTCCCAAAGGCTGCGGAGTACAACTTCCTGGGTTGGGAAGTCAGGAGCCTGAAGGACATGGCAGGGAGACTGGGGGTGGGAGGGATGGGAGGGTGTGGGGGGCGAGGGCAGTAAAGGGTTGGGGGCGAACAGGGGTGTGTGTGAGAGAGAGGGTGTGTGGGGTGAAGGGCTGGGGGTTTGGGGGAGTAGGGGGATGGAGGGTGGGAGGGTGTGGGGGAGTTGGGGGTTGGGGTGGGAGAGTGTGGGGAGTGAGAGGGATGGGGGGTTGGGGGAGTAGGGAGTGGGGGGGGCAGGCTGGCCAGAGCTTGGGCCATTTTATCCTCAGTGGTACTCCTGAAGTCTGGGTGCCTTTGCTGGTTGTCGGGTGTCAGCTTGTAACTTGACAGGGAGTCGCGGCAGTGACACTGAAAAGAAACCCCTTTCTATCCATCCAGGGACTCTGCCCTGGAAAAGTAAAGAAAAGCAAATAATCAACGTTTTTCAGTTACATTTTTAGTGGGCTGGAGTGCTGATGGCGCAATGGTTAGAAATATCTGCTACTCCTGCAAAGGATCCAGGTTCGGTTCCCAGCACCCACGTGACAGCCCTCGGTCTTCTGTAATTGCAGTTCTAGGGAAGCTGACACCCTCTTCTGGCCTCTGTAGGCACTGCATACACCTGGTTCACATCACACACACAGGCAAAACACCCATACACATAAAACAAAAAATTAAAAATAAATTGCATTTTTATTTATTTAACGTATGCATCGGGGTGGGGGTCAGTTGAAGGAGCTGGCTCTTTCCTTCTGCTGTGTGGGTCCCAGGGACTGAACGTGTATTCTCAGTCTTGGGAGCAGGCATCTCTACCTGCTTGAGCCATCCTGCTGCCCACAAGAGTTTTTTAGTGGAGAGATTTTCTTGACCAAAGATGACTCACCTTGTTTTCTACTGGATTTGAGAGAGAGTTTATAGAAGTGTGGGTGTTGCTGAATTTGAGGGCTCTGCAAAATGGAATGGTAGAGTCTCCAGCCTTGGCAAGCTTGTCCTTTCTCCTACGGCCCTTCCCTCTCTACCGTGCCCTATCCTCCTTTCTGCCCTGTCCGCTGTTTTTGCATATGATAAACAGAGGGGGAAAAAAACCAACTCTAGAGCCCCACAAACTAAGGTCTACGAGGTGATTCCATTGCTTTCCAACTGGGAGATCTTCATTAAGATACCCGTGACCTTAAGTTTTCATCCATGAAATGGAGTAGCAATCTTGACCTTGTCTGAGAGACACCAGCATGACCGGGGAGGGAATTTTCACCTCGGGTCTGCCCTGCGGGGCTGTTATGGAGGCGTGTGTGACCTGTGTGTGTCTGCCAAGCCCACCCTGGTGACTTAGCTGCGGGTGGTGTGTGGGACTCTGATCAGAGCAGCCAGAGAGGGCTCAGCCTCACACAGGCGGCAGGACGGTGACATTGGCTCTGCCTTGTTCCACCTGCTGTTGGCTTTCTTGACCTGAGCCTCCTCCGTCAGCAGGCTCCAGTCAGAGGTAGTCCTTGGTCAGCAAAGTTGGGCGGCTGCTGTCTTTTTTCTGTTGTCTTTGCGGCGGGGAGAAGGGGGAGGCAGGCTTCTGAGAGTCCTGCCTTGCACCACACTGTATTTGCGGTTAGAATACAAAAATAATAAATGGCATTTAGCGGGGGGAGGAAAAGCTCTTGTTTAGCATTTTGCTTGCTATTCTTATTTGGCATCTTGATGGCGCTGGAGGAAGCCAGGAAGGCTGGAAAAAGCTGACAGAGGGCAAAAGAGCTCCTCCCCCTGCAAGAGCTCCTGGGGCCACCTGTAGGAATAAAGTGTCTGAGTGTGGCCTCAGCAGGGCCACAGAGAGCATAGTACTTGGCAATCTTCCTGTCCAGCCTCCCCACTCCCTGCTCCTCAGCGTTTTATGAGTCACCCCCTCTTCTTCTTAGGGCACTATTCCATCCCACCTCAGCTTCTGGCCCTTCTGCCTTGCCTTTTGTTCACGGACTGCCACATTTTGACCCACCTTTTTTGCTTCTGGGGACACAGTGATCCAAAAGACATTTTGAACGAGAGTGTTTTAATCAGCGTTATCTAACAGGCTGGATTCCCGTGTAGAAAGTACCAGCGCTTCCGTGGGAGCTCTGTCAAGCTGGCTGAATCCCAGTATCAATTTTCTGTACGGCACAGTGAAACCGTCTCCGATGCTGTTTTCATTTCGTTGAAAAGCTTTCCATGGAGATCAATTCTTTTGTCTTTAGACAGAGTAGACTTTTGTTTCCTCCCTTTTGTGTGAACAAAAGGCACAATCACAACTCCTGCCATCTTGAGTTGCCCCAGCTTCCTGCCAGGGACATTCTCCTGGGTCATGTTGTAGTGTGTGGTCTTTCCTAGAGAATCCAGAGAGGGAGGTGAGACCAAGAAGGGGGCAGAGGGGCCTCGATGCAGAAGTAGCTGTAGCCTGGACATTAGTAAGGGAGGGCAAATATCAGAGTGCCCACTTGGCCACCGGATCGTCAAAGGACACAGTCTGAGTCAAAAACTGTCTCCTCCTTTAGTGCCCTATGGAAGCTTGTCCTAGAACAATGGGGGCCATGAGTTGCCACCTGGGAATGAAGACTAGAAGGTGAGACTGGGGTTTTCAGTTACCATCTTTCTGCTAAACAAACAGAGCTTGTCCCAGTAGGGACAGTCGTGGTATATGTGCGTGTGTGTGTGTGTGCGCGTGCGTGCGTGTGTGTGTGTGTGTGTGTGTGTGTGTGTATGAAGGACCAGAGGAAAACAAGGGACCAACAGGCCCAGGGACATTCATAATTTAGACTCTGGATCTAGCTCTACCTGAGGTAATCTTTTCAGGTGGTCCTGTCACGCCATCTAATAGAGCATCCCAACCTTGGATAACAGATTTCAGGTAGATGCTGCCATTTGCACCAAACATATCCTTCCCAGTACTTCAGTTCTACACAGGCCTATGGCACATGGCCATCTCATGTGCTGATGTCCCCAAATGTCTTGAGGGTTCTCCTTTTTTCTTCCTTGGTACCCAGTCTGCCCAGGGCCCAGCATTCCTTTCTAGTCCCTTCCACAGGCATCTGGTGAGTGCCCAGTGTACTGGAGAATGGGCAGGGAGGATGGTGTGCAGGACCGACTTCTTGAGTATCACCAGGCCTCAGTTTGTCTGTCTGGAGAACAGGTTCATCACACCGTGTCACCTCAGGTACCAACTGCAAACAGAGTGGGCTCCCTCGTAGGCTCCACTAGCGTGGTACACAACCTGTGACGCTCTGGATTCCACAGGCTGTTGCGTGGTCTAGAGGCACTACACCATGTCCTGGGTCACTTACTCACCGGCAGCAAGTCAACCTCTGTGGTGATATGCAGCTGAAGTGTGGGTTGGCGTCAGGGTCTGAGGAGCTAAGGCAGAGTTCTTTGACCTCGCATATTTAAGGCTTGAAGGTCTTATTTGGAACACTAAGAAGGAAGTCCCGTTGTTCTGATTAAACAAAGAGAACAAATAAGATTTGTCCTTGCTGCTCATGGCATAAACAATGTACTTTCTCACGGAAGAGGGTGTCAGTGACACGTCTGGAGGAAGAGTCTGCCAAGGTAAACTATTACCTATCCCCAGTTACACATCTGGACTAAGAATCTGCCATGGTAAACTATCACCTATCCCCAGTTACACATCTGGACTAAGAATCTGCCACGGTAAACTATCACCTATCCCCAGTTACACATCTGGAGGAAGAGTCTGCCACGGTAAACTATCACCTATCCACAGTTACACATCTGGAGGAAGAGTCTGCCACAATAAACTGTCATCACCTATCTCCATTCTGGCCCGCCCACCTCAGCTAGATCAGACTGGTCTGACAGAGGACTGTCCAGTTCCCACACAGCACAGTTGGAATGCAGTGCAGGAAATGGGCCGGCTTCCCACGAAGAACACAGGCCGTGTTGCGGAGAACATGCTCGGGACTGGTGAGGTTGCATAACGCACGTGGATTTCCCAAGATGCTACTGAAAGCTCTGCTGTGGAGTAGGGCGGGGGTCAGCGGGGGGCCAAGGAGCCCACATGTTTTCCTGGGAAGAACCTGTCTTCATCCTTTGAACTCTGAGCAAAAGAGCCCTTAGATCCGTGGAGACCTGGCTGTGAGAGGGCTAGAATCCCTTCCCTCTAGTCTAAGCCTACAATGATTGCGAAGGGCGGAGAGTTAGGTAAGTTGATACTGACCAAGAGACTGTTGGTCAGTGTTCTTTGTTAACTGTGTGATCTTGGACAACTCACTCAACTCTTCTGGGTTCCAGTCCTCATCTTTCTGCCCCTTGTTAGTATCAAGGAAGCCTCTCCCCCCGCTTTTCTTTTGATTGTGACATTAGCTGTGTCACTACTGCAAACTCCCACCTCTCCCAGGGCCACTAGTGCTGGATCTATAAAGGACGGTTGAACGCTATTGGAACTGTTCTGTCTTGAGCTCTGGCGAAGCTCACGTGAAAGCATTTGTTTTCTGTGAATGACTAGAACCGTCCAGGGAAAGCCAATTCACAAACCTTCTCTTTACGTCTGACAACTTTGGTTGGGGGATCATTGCCGAAGTTCCCCCTTGCTGGCGGCTGGATCCTGTTGACTCATTCCTAGGACACTTCAGCAACTGCAGACACACTCAGAGCAGTCACGGCCTCTGCTCTAAGCAGGACAAGCCTCAGTGAACTCGGGTGACCTTGCTGACCCTCGGCCTTCTCACTCAGGCCATAGGGGAGCCATGCTGGCTCAGCGGAAGGGTGGGATAGTGAATCCTTCATTTCCTCCCAACTGGTCTTTCCCTTGACAGCTTTAGATTTCTCTTGTAAGTAGAGGAGGCAGAACTGGTCACATGAAGAGGAGCTCTCAGTGCTGCAGTGGCGGTGGAGGCAGCAAGGGCAATCATGGGGGTGGTGGGAGAAATTGCAAGAGGCTGGCTGAAGCGTTCTAGAGAGAGGCTAGGAACAGAGACGCCAAAGGGAAACAGAAAACAGAGAAGGCTATGAAGAACTGAAGATAGGGGGTCTGTGGGTCCTGGAGTTGAACTTGGTTCAGGGAACTGCCAAGCCCTAAGAGTCAAAGGTCCTGACACCAAGGCCCAGGAGCTAAAACCCTAGTGTCCAGGGTCCCAAGGCCTGAGTTGGAAAGCTGTAAAAATAGCCACTTGTGAGAGCCATGGGTGTGGAGCAGTCACTCTTGCTGGTGCTGGCTGCTACTGAGAGCTAAGGATGCCCCTAGTTGTGTTCAGAGCCCAGGCCAAGTACTCCCAATTCAGCAGCAGACGCTTTGCCCATGGTGACATCTCCCCAGCTCTCAAATCGTATGTATTTTGTATGTTTGCTCTGTTTGTGTTTTTGTTTTGTGTTGATACACGTATGTGTGTTTGGGTGTGTGTGGGGGGGGGTGTATATGTGTATACAGGTGCACATACACACACTTGCCACTTTCTGGCCTCAAAATAGCTGTTGTGCTTCCAGCTTCTGGTTTGAGTTCCAGTGAGAAAGGAGAATAAAGGACGCTTGCTGTCCTGGTTCTGACGGATGATGGCCCCTTGCTGCAGCGGGGTCTAGGCAATGGACTGGTGAGATCTCTTGGCCTCTTAGGTAGAGGAAGGAAAGGAGAGGGCAAGGTTCTTCCGATGGCAAATCCTCTGAGTCTGCGCGGGGCTTTGGAGAGGATGTATGTACCCTGGGTCCTGATGTTGACAAAGTACCCAAAGATGGACATACTGTACCTCTGCTGTGAAAGTCAGGTAAGGGATTGATTTACAAAAGGCAAGGGATATTATTTCACTGTGAAAATTGGGCCTTCAAATGAATTTTCTTCTTGGCCCTTATTGTTAGGATTGCCTTTGCGGCTTCATGTGTCAAGCCTAGCTTCCCTGAAATCACCAGCACGAGCCATTCCTTGCCACCCTATCTGTGGACTTTAGCCTGGGGGCTCTGTGTGGACCAGGAATACTCAGATGTGCCCTCCAGTTACACGTGACAGGAGAGTGTGTTCCCTGGAGATGGTGAGCTGGTGTGCTTGCCCTCCTTACTCCTACCTAGCCCTGCCCAATCACTCAATGGCATCACCACTGAGGCCCTGCAAGGTCCTCCAGAGCCTCGGGTCTCTCCTGTGAGATGCAGCCAGTTCCGCCTGGCTTTACTTCCCAGTGCATTTTTAAGTTGCAATTTTCTTAATCAAATGTGGAGCTCATGTTACTTTATTAAGCCGAATACCTGGGGTGTTTATGGTAAGAACGCTCCCCCCAGGCTCCTAGCTGTTGACCCACGGTGGCTGTAGATTATGCAGGCTCAGGAGGGCAAGGAAGAACGTCATTAATTTCACAGCTGCCACTGTCTCCTCTCGTAGCCGGCAGCCCTGCTACTGGTCTCAGCCGCTAATGAGCGTCAACCTCGAACTGGGACTGGGGGTGGGGGCATGCAGTCATCATTTCTCCCAGATTTTAATAGAGACCGATCTCAAGGTGTTCAGGAGGATAGAAGGGATGGGTTTCTTTGTTAGGCAGCTGCCTCAAGGACTAATCACATTTGCCTCTTGATTCCTGGGTGTGAGTTAGTGTGGGCTAGCAGTAGGCTGGGCGGTCCGTGGTGGCTGCTAATCTGTGGATCTACAGCTGGGAACTGTGGCCAGTGATTTACTTTGATGTGAGAAGGAAGGATACACTGAATAACAACCCTTTGGAAAGAGAGAATTAAACCAATCTGGCTGCCCAGCCTCCTCTGCTTTACGGACTTTCCAGGATCCTGGCCAACAAATCTCCATCTTGCTGCAGACTATCGACACAGGGTGGAATAGATGACTCTGGCTGGGTTTTGATGGCTGCCTTGCCTGATGCTTTGACCAAGGGTGCCATCAATCTTGAAATTTTCAGAAAATTGTATGGATTTTGTAGGGGAAGAGACTGGCGGTATTTGTGGGCTAGAGAGTCTTATAAATTACAAACATGGCTCCCCGTAGTGTTTTTGACATTCTTCATGGAATTTTTCATCAATCCTTCCATAACGTCGAGCATTAATTCATACACCTCCTCCGCATCAGGTACCACACTGAGCCTTGTCAGGGATGGACCTCATTCATTAAATCCTCCATGTACCTGTAGAGGGGTCGGGGTGGTAATGGGTGTCCAGGAGGCTGTTTCAATATTATCCTAACCTGGAAGGAGAGGAGATGTGGTCTGCAGGAAGTGAGGCACTTACCAGAGAGCACACGGAGAGGGTTGGATGGAGATGAGAGCTTCAAGAAGGTGAGGGCCCTTGGTGCCGGGGAGGTATTGGTCAGGACGCTAAGAGTCCCTTTTTCCAGACCTCAGGTTTTTCCACTTGTGAAATGGGGACCATTGTTGAGATGTTTTGTGCCTCCAGGGCTGTCACAGTTTGCTTTATGACAGTTTGACCTGGATGCCCAGATACTTGACTGAATGTTCTTCGCAGGCATGTCTGTGGGCACGTCTGGATGAACAACAGAAGGGGTGGTCTCAAAAGCCTCCCCTCCCCAGCGTGGTGGGCCTCATCCAACCAGCTCAAGTGCTGGGGGAAACAACAGGGCAGAGGAGGATGTGACCCTTTGCTGGCTGACTCCTGCAGCTCTACCACCACGGTCTACCTCTTGCCCTGACCCATTGGCTCTTCCGACTCCAAGGACCTCCAACCTCAGAGAGAGCGACAGCAAAGAGAGGCTGGTGGACAGCGGCAGCCTGTCTTGGACCTCTTGGCCTCCAGAGCGGAGTTGCTGTTTTCCTATTGTCCACAAGGAGTGGAATCCAGAATGGCTCTTAGGCTGCCAACCCCATGGGTGCTTGAACGCCTTACATATAAGGGTACAGTATTTATTCGGAACTCATGTATTCCCCTTTCCCGTGTGATTGCTTAATCTCGTGCCTTAAAGGCTTGGCCATCAGCCTAGAGTGCAGCGGGGAGGAGATGGAACCTGGAGGAGAGGGAGCTGAGTACAGAAAGTTGCGTCATTGAAGGTACACACTTGGTGCCAAGACACTGTCTCAGGGCTGGAGAGATAGCTCAGTGATTAAGAGCACTGCCTGCTCTTCCAAAGGTCCTGAGTTCAATTCCCAGCAACCATATGGTGGCTGACAACCATCTGTAATGAGATCTGGCACCCTCTTCTGGCCTACAGACATACATTCAGACAGAATACTGAGAATACTGGATACATAATAAATAAATAAATCTTTAAAAAAAACCAACACTGTCTCAAACCCTAGCAAATGGTGGAGGTGCCTACTTAACATATTAAAGTGAACCTGGCCACCAGGTTCTCCTAGCATTCCTCAGTCCCTACCTGTTACAGGGTCTCCCTGACTGGCACACCCTGCCCCCTACCCAAAACGTCTCCAGCCCAGGTATTGAGCTGCCTGTCCTTACCTTGCTGGCCTCTTGGTCTGGCTCTCCCCTGGCCCCTCCCCCTCTTCTCACATGGCTCAGCTCAGCCTGGTCATGTTCACTCTGGACTCTCCCAGATGCCCCTGCCTCTGACTACACTTGCTCTTTTATCCACAATAAACTTTCTCCTCCACCCGTACCTAGGAGCAGTCATGGCTTTCATTTTTTATTTCTTTTTTGGTTTTCATTCATCTGGTGCTGAAACCCAGAATTGGCCATGTCCTTTCTTCCTTTTTTATTTCTTTCTAAAATTTCATTTAGGATATTTGTTTCTCTTTGCTTTCTGGCCACCGCAGGGGAAAAGCCCCCCTCTGTCGCATGCTCCTGCTGTGACACACTCCGATTCCCTGGGCAATATAAAACTGCTAGCCAAAATAAGCCTTTTATTATCCCAGATATTTTGTTATCGTGATGAAATCTGACTGATACATATCATATACTTTAAATTGTCTCTAGATTACTTTTAATGTCTGATACAATGTGAATAGTTATTACATTGTGTCACCTAGAGAATAATATTCAACAAGAGAAAAAAACGTCTGTACATATTCAGTACAGACATCATTTGAAAAATAATTTTGAGCTATGCCTGGCCTTATCGACCACTGTGGAGCCACCAGATATAGAGAGCCAGCAGTAGACACTTTCTGTGGGCTGTCCCTTCGGAGAATTCTCACTGACATAAAGAATATGCTTCTGGGTCTTGCCAGAACAAAATTTCGCCCAGACAGAAGGAAGTGCAAATATGCCTTTTACCCCCCTTCCACCCGCCCAAGGCATTTTCTACAGGCAGAATCCAGCTACTCTTGCTCTTCCTGAATGTTCTTCTTCACTATGGGAAACTATTGTTTTTCAGCCTTGCCCCCTACTGTAGGGTGGGGCTTCATTGTTCTACTGCTAGCTAACTGCCGGATGAAGGACGATGTTGGATTATCAGGTCTTCAAGCCAAGGTCAGAAACCAACACCACAGTCCTGAGGCATATTGGGAGACAGGGAACACAGCAGATACCCTAGGAGTTGCAGAAGAGCGAATAAGGTCTTCCTACACCCATGACTTTCAGGAGCTCTCTTTGACAGGGACTTGAGAGAGCCCGCAGAGACCACCTTCCTGCCTGCTGCCAAGTGCTGGTCTCCTTGCTCCAGCTACTCTGTCATGTGACCTTCATCTACGTCCCTTTCATCTGTAACTAAATCTCTGAGGTGACGGCCCCACCACTCCTCTCAGGTTCTGTTCATTAGAAGTGTCACCTGTGCTGGCCCCAGCCATGGGGATGCTCACTGCAGAGGTTTTCTGTTATGCTCCTGCAATGCAGGTGTGAGATGGCAGGTATGTGACGGCAGGTGTGAGATGGCAGGTGTGAGACAGCAGGTGTGGGGTGGCAGGTGTGTGATGGCAGGTGTGGGACGGCAGGTGTGAGATGGCAGGTGTGGGACGGCAGGTGTGGGACTGCAGGTGTGGGACTGCAGGTGTGAGATGACAGGTGTGTGATGGCAGGTGTGAGATGATAGGTGTGGGATGGCAGGTATGGGAGAGGTCCAGAATCCAAGGTTGGGGATGTAGCTCAGAAATAGCATGCTTGTCTAGCATGGATGAGGCCCTAACTACCCTGGAGGACTATGGGAGGATGCTGTAAGAATGACACACAGCCGGGTATGTGTGAGAGCCAAGCTGACACCTGTCAACCCAGCCATGGAAAACCACTTTTCATGACTGTCTCTCCAAGTTCAAAACTCATCTTTGCAACCTCTGTTTCTTCATGTTTAGGGGACTCTGCAGATAAAATGATGTTTATGTCAAGGAGCCTGGAATAAGAGTCTCTGCTCAAAGGGAGGCAACACAGAACCATCAGTTTGGACTCGACGCACCGTTAATAATCACCACGTGGGTGTGAAAGTCCATAGGCTATGGGAGGCTTAGGGAAAATGGGGCTTTTTGCATTGAGTCTCAGCCATTAGCAAAATACCACATTGAAAATTAGTCAGAAAAGGTAATTAGTGTCAAAGAGCAATTGCGGTATCGTTAAGGTGACGGATGTTGGTGCGGGGTGTGTGCTAATGATTTATGGAATTTTCTTTTGGGAGACAATTGGAGCAATTTGGTGGTCAGCAGACAGTCTGCAAATCAATCACTATGATAGTCAATAATTTATCATTTCTATTTCAAGTAGGGAGTTTGCATCAGCTTAAACAGAAGGGAGCTCTGATGAAGGATGAGAGTTGGCATCCAACACAATCCTGAGCCTGTGCTGTGTCTATGTAAGTGGTACCCATTTTATTCTCTGTGCAGAGCCAGAAGAAATCTGTGGAAGGATTTGCCTCTGGTTTCATCTTGGGATGGAAGTAGTTGTGTGCTTTTGGCTGAAGACAAATCAGGATTTCAATGTTAAGGTAGACTTGGTTTTACAAGCTCTTCTCTGGAGAACAGAAAGAAGACTCCTGGCACCCAGTGACCTCTGAACTTCATCATTGGTGACTGAGGTGAAGCAGGAAGGATTATAGTTCATTCACTGGGAGGATGTTGACTCAGAGGAGAGGGCCTTAGGCCTTTGTGATCTTAGAGTTCCAACCTTGGCTTTGGGTGCCATTATTTCTGGCACACATACTCTGAATACAACAACAGCAGTAATGACAGTTAAAACAATCATCAAGAGCCTCCTATGTTCCTGGTGCTTGCATGAACTATTTTGACTTGACCTTCACCAATGGATATGTACAGAGGGGCAAGATTTCTGGGATCACACAGCAAGAGATTGCTAAACGGGTTTTCTATCCCAGATACCACTCTCCTATTGACTTGCTGAATGCAGGAAACGATGCTAAATTCTTCCTGCCTCAGCTCTCTCATCTATAAAATATGAATAATAATGTGCTCTGCACACAGTTTCAAGGCGAAGGTGCTTAGTAAGCAATGCACAGGATGTTAGAGCTGGCAACACTGTGGTCCTGGCTGTGGCACTTGTCACGTGGCTGGCACTTGTAGTTTTCCTTCTCCTTTCTCAAGCCCACTGAGACAGGGAGTCTGGTCTCTTTGTTTTTGATAGTCATAAGCATCCAACACCCCATGTCAAATTCTTGGCACATTTTAATCTATGGACACAACCAGATTTATTTCTTACTGTGAGCCCCTTCTGCCAAAACTTCTAACAGCACCCCATTTCTTTTAGGCTTAAGTGTAGCCTTCTCAGGACAGAATTTAAAGTTTCCTCAAACTGCTTTTATGACTGGCTCTAATATGTCTTGGAAACACAGTTTTCTGCATGGGCCCATCCCTAATTCTATCTTTCTCTTTCTATTGCCAACAGTTGTCACAGTCACTATCTCTCTGAGGACAATGTGACCTGCATGAGCATCCAGCCTGTCAGACTCTGGAAGAAGACTGTTCCTGCCCCCAGGCAAGGATCTTCTTGGCATCTTCCCATTCTCAGTGTTGGCCTATCAGGGACGCAGTGAGAACACCTCCATGCCAAGGAAGTCTCAGCAAGATGCTCAAGCTAGGACATGATCTGGACAATAGAGTTTCCTGCAAGCAGATCTATCCTCCTAGCTCCATGCCGGTACCACACAGTCCAAATTCAAAGTGTGTCTTTCATCTCGCTGTGTCTCATATCTACAGCGGACTAGGAACTCTTGTGTTTTTTTACTCAAAAATGAAGGTCAACAAAACTCATGTGGATTTTCATGATTTCAGGGAATAAGGATGACCCACATGTTAAAGAGAAGACCCCTTAGTCTGGAGCGGTGGTGCATGCCTTTATTCCTAGGACTCAAGAGGCAGAGGCAGGTGGATCTCTGAGTTTAAGGCCATCCTGGTCTACAGAGTGAATTCAAGTACAGCCAGGGCCACATAGAGAAACCCTATCTTGAAAAACAAGAAAAATAAAACTAACAATAACAAAGATAGCCACACATGCGTGTGCACACACATATCAGAAGAAGAGGAAGAGGAAGAGGAAGAAGAAGAAGAAGAAGACTCCCAGTTTTCTTAAAACAATCAAAGAGCCCAAGACTGGAAAAGGCAGATTTAAGCCACTAATCCTCCATGCCTACTCTTCCCTAGAGAACTGAGACTTGAAGCCAGAGGAGCACTCGGTACTCAGCAAGCCTGCCTTGAGAGCACAAAGAAAAACCGAGAAACCCACAAAAGAGTGCAGCATACTTCTTTCAGCCATGGTCAACCAAGAGAAAGAAAAGGTAATAACAATGCAAGGAAGTGTCCACATGCTAACCCAGGTTGATCATAAAACTGGCAGGTGCCAGATGTGACAATTAGAGAACACTGCCATTTCAAGCTTGCAATTAATTGTAAAAAACAAACAACTACTAGACCATTCACACATCCCCAAAGAAATTAGAAAGCACTGAAGCCTGACACCAATAACAACAATTAGATGTGTCAGCCAGAGTAAACTAGGAAATTTTGAGAGAAGAAACAGCCCCTAAGTCTTAGTGGTGTGCCCACTCACCAAAGGGTTTTTGTCCCTTGTCTTCCTCCTCCTGTTCTTCCCCTTCCTCCTCCTCCACCTGCTCTCCCTCCTCTTCCTTCTCCACCTGTTCTCCCTCCTCTTCCTCCTCCTCCACCTGTTCTCCCTCCTCTTCCTCCTCCTCCACCTGTTCTCCCTCCTCTTCCTCCTCCTCCACCTGCTCTCCCTCCTCTTCCTCCTCCTCTACCTGCTC